GCACACATTTGAACCTGGACAGGATAGTATTTATTAAAAAAGTCTTTTTGCCCCAAAAAGGGGAAAGCACAGCTCAGAGAAGCAGAGGACTTCAGACTTTTCCATAGCCTGTGTGCCAACAATGAGAAATTAAAAAGCCTGCAATTGTAGTCTGACTGAGGCACGTATTAATACATGGGTTTTGTTTTAAATGAGGGAAATAATCCCCCTGTGGTAAGCAGGGGCGGCCCTAGACTAGCTGCCAGCAACTGGCGCCCTAGGTGAACCATGCAATCGGTGTTCCCCACCCCCAACCCCAAGGGCAGATCTAGGCTGAGGTTTCTGGTAAACTGGGAAACATTTTGTCCCTTTTTTCCTTTTAATGTTTTTTTAAGCATTTTTTTTTTAAAAGGGCTTAATTATTCGGTTTGTCAGTCCTTCTGTCTGTCCAACCAATGTTTCTGAGATCAGATAAAATAGAGATACGAAATTTTCAGAATAGATTTGTACATGACTGCTAGATGATATTTCAGGCCGATTTCAAATAAAAATGAATTAAAATGTTAATTATATTTTTTATTATTACAAATCCAAAATCACCCATTACGCTATCCTGCTTTAACTGCCATTACCACCACATACAATATAGAAAGAAATAAGAAAACTCTTCAGTGAACTTTAACCTGTATTTACAAAACACTCCAAATTTAAAAAACACTCTGTGCTCTTAAAACATGACTTTTCTTGCGTTAAGTTTTGAAAATTCAGGCACTAGTTCTTTTAGATCCAGTTTTCCAGCTATTTCATGCTCTGTTGACATTGTGGCAAGTCCAACATGTCTCTCTTGCACCATTGTTGAACGCAGATATGTTTTTATCAATTTTAACTTTGAGAAGCTACGTTTCCCACTAGCTACGGAAACTGACAAAACAAACATTTTCACAAACAAACTTCGCTACTTCTTTAGTTTGCTGCAGTTTTTGAATAGCTGAATGTATGTTCAAGTTCTTTTCCTGAAGCTGCTTACTAGTGAGGTTAATCTCAAAAAGGATATTTATACCACAAAATGAGTGAAGTCACAAATTTGAACTTGGAAAGGCCATTTGCAAAAGCTTCTGTAGCTGAACATGCCGTATTGCCAGATGATCCAGTAAAGATAGTATCATCAGAAATTTCAATTAGGGCATCATAAATGTTTCCAAGTTCATAGCGAAGAGGCTTCAAAGCATCAATGCTACTCTCCCATCTTGTCTAAGTGGTTTCACAGTTAGAGAATTCACATGGTGAGTCAGAATCTCCCAACGGCATACTGAGCCTGAGAAAAACACACAAACACGTTGCACTAGATCAAAGAAACTGCTTGCTTCCAAACAGCATCTAGCAGCATCACTGACAACCTGATTCAGAGACTGCACACTGAAAGGAACAAAAAAGGCCCTAGGATTGACTTCCATCGTTGTCCTTTGCACACCATTGTCTTTACTCCCATTATCATAGCCTTGGCCACGTAAGTTTTCAACAGAGAATGACATTGTTTCAAGCTCTTGTAGAATAGTTTCAGTCATAAATGCTCCAGTCGTCTCCTTCAGTGGTACGAAACTCAAAAAATGTTCCTTTATGAGCACTTCAACATTATCTTCATCTGCAGACTTTTCCATATCCACAAAATGAATGATCATCATCATTTGTTCAATATGACTCACATCTGGTGTACAGTCCAGTATTATTGAAAAGTATTTTGGAGAATGGGCAGCTTCTACAATTTTCTTTTTAATGGCATTTGCTAGGATTTGAATCAGTTCATTCTGCATGTTTTTTCCTAAGTAATGAACCTGTGTTTCACGATCAGTGATTTTACATAGATGCTCCTTCATGACTGGATCAAACATAGCTAGGTATTCAAGAAATTTTTAAAAGTTTCCATTAGCTGGAGTGTATAAGTTTTCATTTCTACTGTGGCCTCGGAATGCTAAATTTTGCCCACCGAGAACTCTCACTAAAGCAATCAGATGCTCTAATATTTGTTGCCAATATTCTTCTTTTTCCTTGATCATATGTAAATTTTCTTCGATAGTTTTTCCTTTTTTCAATCATAATTCAAGTTCTTTCCAATTTTGAAAACATTCCAAATGTTCTGTACTTCTTTCATGTGAAAAGGGAATTGAAGATATGTTTTTCCAGTCCTTCGAACCATTTTCAGTAAGCCATGTACCAATTGCTTGATTTCTAAACAACTTGCAGCAAAAGCAAAACACAGAGTCCTTTGACACTGAATATTGTAACCAGTTTTGATGAATTTCTTCCCCATTAATGACAGGTTTCAGAGTAACAGCCGTTTTAGTCTGTATCCGCAAAAAGAGCAGGAGTACTTGTGGCACCTTAGAGACGAACAAATTTATTAGACCATAAGCTTTCGTGGGCTACAGCCCACTTCAACATATAGTAAGAAGAAATATATATACATACTGAGAAGGTGGAAGTTGCCATACAAACTGTGAGAGGCTAATGAGTTAAGATGAGCTATTATGAGCAAGAGAAAAAAACTTTTGTAGTGATAATCAAGATGGCCCATTTAGACAGTTGACAAGAATGTGTGAGGATACTTAACTTTAAAGGGAAATAGATTCAATATGTGTAATGACCTAGCCACTCCCAGTCTCTGTTCAAACCTAGTTAATGGTATCTAGTTTGCATATTAATTCAAGCTCAGCGGTTTCTCATTGGAGTCTGTTTTTGAAGCTTTTCTGCTGCAAAATTGCTACCCTTAAATCTTTTACTGAGTGGCCAGAGAGGTTGAAGTGTTCTCCTACTGGTCTTTGAATATTATGATTCCTGATGTCAGATTTGTGTCCATTTATTCTTTTGCGTAGAGACTGTCTGGTTTGGCCAATGTACATGGCAGAGGGGCATTGCTGGCACATGATGGCATATATCACATTGGTAGATGTGCAGATGAATGAGCCCCTGATGGCGTGGCTAATGTGATTAGGTCCTATGATGGTATCACTTGAATAAATATGTGTTTCCTCTTGTAATGCTGAGCAGATAATTTTCTTTTATTTCCATCCTTAGGGAAGGGAAATTCATGAACTTGTTCAGGTCCATGTTCCATGAGAATTTGCCACACACTGTCATCACACCTGGGCCATGAAGCTGGGTCCCCATACTGTAACTTGTTTGTAAGTTCCTCATTCTTTCTTCATTCTACTTCATTTACTTCAATTTCTGCATGTCTCTCTGAAGCTGAATAAATTTTCTCCACTTCCATATCAGTCTGATGCTGTGAGCTGCCTTCATCTAGAAGTAAGTTTCTAATCACCTTGAGTTTCCAAACTGCTTTTTTGTGCATGTGAGCTATCCTCATCTCAAAGTAATATAACTTCATCTTGATGTTCCAAACTGCTTCCATGCGAATGTGAGCTAACCTCCTTTCCAAGTAAAATTCCTTCATCTGGATGCTGTGAACTGCTTCCATTATTTGGATTAAAGAGAAGATATTTCAGGAAGGATCCCTGAAGTTTTTCTTGGTCCTTTTCCTTCTCAGCCTTTCATTTACAATACTCAGCTTCTGAGGGTTTTCTTTTTCCTCTTTCTGCCATGGGGCATTTGAATATTGTTGTGTACTGTGCTCCCGACTGCAAGCATTATAGCATTAAGGATGGCTGATACACCACATGGTTGGTGATTTAAACCACATTGCAGCCATCCCAATACGTCTTCTCATTGCTTAAAGGTTGAATGATTAGTAACATACACTCACTTACCTATTAAAACAGTTAATTACAGCATTTACATGGAAACAAAATGACCTTTTTCGACGTTATAACCCGACATCGGTTGTTTGGAAAGTAATCCCCTTCCTCACGGTTACCTGCTTGGATGTCATCACTTTCATAGTCTATTAAGCTTTAACACTGTTACTTTTCTGTTATTGACCTTATTTATTATGTGAAAAGAAAGAAAAGTTCATAATTATACAGCCTGATAAGAACGCTAACGCTTAATAACCCTTAAAGATACTCACATTTTGAATTTATAATGCTGAAAGATGTTATTCTTTATTCTTTGGCACCAAGAAACACAATTTTCTACAGTATTTGCTCAATTCTTAACCGTCTACCTGCAATGTGTGTTAAAATGACCGTTTGACTGTATCAGCTCGCGATATCTCCCCTCTACATGAATTTCTGGCTGTGCGACCTTGATGTATATTTGAGTTAGGTGTCCTTAGCATTGCAGCTCTTGCCGCTGGCAGATGTGTTTCATTGTGGCTGAGTTATTGCTTGTCAAAATTGCATAGTTGGTCGTTTTGACCCTACATCGCAAATTGAAAAAAAAAGTCACTAAAATATTATTTATTTTGCAGTAAATAAAAGATTTGACATATGAATACATTCTCAGAAATGTAGAGAAATGAATTATAATTCATATTCCCTCTATACGTGCACAGGAATTGAAATAATGACATCTTCGTTACTTTTATTTGTATTTTTTTCATCTTTTTCATTTTTTTTCATTTTATTTTATTTTTGATTTGATTTTTTTCCCCTCGAATTTGGTGCCCCATTTAACTTGGCCCCCTAAGCAACCGCCTAGTTTGCCTATATGGGCGGGCCGCCCCTTGTGGTAAGTGAATCCTAGCTGTGGTGGGGAAGGGTGTGAAGCTGTGATTTTAGCTGCCTGGACAGGGTGACCCATGAGGTGCTGCTTTGATCCCTGTGGCTCCTCTTTACACAGGAACAAGCATAGGCCTGGGTATTGTTGCCGCGGTGCTAGGCGCTGTATGGCTGCATAGGAGTCCAACATTTAAGACATGTGACGTATGGCTTGTGAGGGAGGGGGCTACGGCACCGCTGCGCTTCCGCCTATATCCCGTGCTGGGAATCGGGGCCGCGCAGGTGCTGATTAACCAGGACTATACTTCCTAGCGGGCTCCGCGCAACGTCGGCTGCCTCTCTCGGGGCCACCCTGACTGTCCTGATGCATCATGGGAACTATAGTCCTCAATCGATGCGCTTCTTCGCGTATACCCCGCTTCTTCCTCCGCATTGCAGATGTGTCATGGGAACTGTAGTCCCCGCGCTCTGCGCGTGAATATCTGCGCGAGGGGCGGCCCCTCCCCCTTCCCCTCCTGGGCTGTGGCCACGCGCGGAGGTTCCGCTTCCCCCTCCGGCTGCTGCCGCCGCCTCCGTGGGTCCCGCTGCCGCCATTGCAGGAAGCTCGTGCGGCGGCCGCGCCGTGCGAACTAGAGGTCCCGCCCCGCAGCCCCCTTGGCGGCCGGCTCCTTTCCGGACGTGGGAGGAGCAGCGGGCAGTCCCGTCCGCCACCGGTGAGTTCAGCGCCCGCTGCGCGCCGGGGCGGGGAGCGGTGAGGGGGCAACGCGGGTGGGTGGTTGTTCCTCCCGCCTCGCACACGCCCCGGCCTGGCTAGCGGCTGGGAGGCTCCCACCTGCCGCGGGGCGGAATCCTAGCCCTCAGGCCGGCGGGTGGCGGCGCCTCCCCGCCGCTTCTTCCTGGGTCGCTTCCTTGTAGGGGATCGCTAAGGCGTGGGCGGCGCCCTCTCTGCCCAGCCTGGCCCGGAGACTGTAGGACCGAGACCTGGGGCTCCGGCACCCGCCGTCAGGCTCCCCCCCGCCAGGCTCCCGCAATTCCCCCAGCGGCTAAACTCTGTGCGAGGGTGCACTCCTCCCTGGCGGGCGTGGCGTGTGCTGGATGGCACGGTGGGGTGGCGGGGTGAGGGTTTTGGGACACCTGTGTGGGGTGGCGGGGTGGGGACCCGTGCGGACCTTACGCTGCAGCGTTAAAGCTATCAGGGTTTGGCTGCAGCTCAGGGCTATGAAAAACTTTCCGTCGTATATTACAGGGTGGTTGATCTAACCCCCGCTGTAGAGGTAGCTACCGTGTCGCGGGGTGAATTTACTATAGCTATGGAAAAACACCTTCCGTAGTAAAAAGAAAAGGAGTACTTGTGGCACCTTAGAGACTAACCAATTTATTTGAGCATAAACTTTCGTGAGCTACTGCTTATGCTCAAATAAATTGGTTAGTCTCTAAGGTGCCACAAGTACTCCTTTTCTTTTTGCGAATACAGACTAACAGGGCTGCTACTCTGAAACCTTCCATAGTAAGTGTCAGTGCTACAGTGACACAGCTACAGTTGAGTTTGGGATGGCTGCATAATAGTACTTGCAAAAGCATACTTGCAACAACTTTGTGCCACACCATCTTGTAATCACTCTAAGAACTAGCACATAAATAAGACAGAAGTAGACTTAAATGAGCCAATGTATTCATGTTATTTCACTTTAATACTGCTTTTAAAGTTGTAATATAGCTTCTCTTCCCCCCCCCCCATTCTCTTCCTTTCAGACACCACTTTCTGCTTTTAGAAGTGCCTTCCTGTTCAACAAAACTTAATTGGTAATAAAATTGTCTTTCTAGAAACAAATACTGAGTTTTTTAAAATTTCTATGTACAGTTATTTCCTTATCATGAGTGATTTTGGTATGCTCACTATAGATCTTGCTGTATAATATGTAGCTTTTTTAAAAAAGACACCCATAGTTTTGTCATGCTGCATATATATGCTAAATTTAATTTGTGTAAATAGACATGAAAATTTAGGCCTGAAACGAAGTACAACGTGTGTTTCTCTCTATCCTGTTTGTCTTTAATTCTCATAGATAGTATGATAGAAGCACATTTTTGTGGGGTTGATTTTTTCTGGGGCTGCTCTCTCAAACTTAAAGGTCATCTATGCGTTGGGAGATAGTGGTACACATTTGTCCTCTTTTTGTGTAATTTTAACAAGTTTTACAAAAAAGAATTAACAGAATTCTTAGTAAAGTTTTGCCCAGACTTAGTTTTTGTAAGTACTTTTCCAACAGAAATATTTCTGGTAAAGAGCTGTGTTCTACTGGATTTCTTTTTCTGTAACATTCTCCTGTAGTGTAAACAACCCAAATATTGCGGCATTCCATTAGTGTGGTTTTTTTGTTGGAGAATTCCTTGGTGGATCAGCACCCCATGTTTATTTATGTTTTGTCTCAATGTAGTTGCCCTGTCTCTTCTTTTGTTATGTCGATGTCACTTTCTGTCTTCTGGCTGGTTTTCTTCTTCTCTTTAATTTCCTATTTTTTTAGTTTTTTTTTTCTTTCTGCTCCCCCCCAGCCTTGCGCAGGAGAAGGCTATAGAGGGTAAGGCCAGAAGGTCATTAAATTATGTAGTTTTACAGGCCACTAAATTTCAGCCAGATACCCCTGTGTTGAGCCCAGCTAGATAAATAAAGCACTTAGTCCTTAGGAGACTAAACTAGTGTTTGCCGCAGGCAGAGAACAGGAGAGACAGAGGTGCCACCAAAGTCCTTGCAATGGCAGGAAACTGATTAGGTGAGATGTACCTTGATGATCCCAGCAGGCACTCTGTATCCCATACTGAGGAGGAAGGCGAAAATCCCTCAGTCCCTGCAAATCTGACTTAGGGGGAAATTCCTCCTTACCTGTATCTGGAGATCAGACACTTATCTTGTGATCAAGACATACCAGCCACATGTCTAAGACAGAAAATTTGGGTGCAGATATGAGAGGGAGTCTCTCTCTAACTGGGTCTCTAATTTACTCCACTGAGAGGGCTACTTTTAGTCCAGTACTTATCCTCTCCTGTCCTGTTTTTTCTTCTTTCGCTTCTCCCAAATTCTTTTTGGGTTGGAATTTCAACTCCTAAAGTGTTGGCTGAGAGCTGGTCTGAGCTTCCAGTGCCAGTATACTCTTGCTGCAGATTAGCAGATCATTAATTGAGGTGTCTCTGCTGTCGCCACAATGAAGATAAATAGTGGTTTTCAAAACAAGTCTCCTAGCTGTGTTTAAAGGGCTTATTTAAAAACAAAACAAAAACAAATGTTTTATTTTGATGCCATCCTTAAACCACATCAGTATCAAAGGGTCTGGCCCTAAGTTCCTTCTAAGATGCGCAGCAGGCTATCAAGGGCTGTGCAGGTGCACAGCCTGGGAAAGGCGTCTCTCCCCCCAGCCCCGGCCCTGGAGCTCCCACGGCTGGGGAGAGGTGCTTCTGCCCCGGTCCCAGAGCTGCTTTGGCGAGAGAGGGCTGGGGGGAGATCTCTCTCCCTGCCGCAGCCCCAGGGAAGCCTGAACCCCAAACCCCTCATCCCCAGCCCCACCCCAGAGTCTGCACCCCCAGCCAGAGCTTTCACCCCCCGCACCCTGACCTTCTGCCCTAGCCAGGCCCTCACACCCAGCACCCCAGCCCTCTGCCCCCTCCAGCACTCTGAACCTTTTAGCCCCACCCTTGCCACACATCACCTCAATATTGGTGCACATAACAAAATTCATTCCACACATGGAAGGATGCAGAAAATTAGAGGGAACATTGGTCTGGCCTAGTAGTGGCAAGAGTGAAGATGCTAATGCTGGAGTCTTGGGCTGGGACCCAAGCAGCGCTTTGTAAACTTGTGTCTTACCAAAATATACAGGTCGGGAGAAAAGGAAGGAGGATAGCAGAGGCTTGGAAGTGGAAGGAGCTGAGTTAGATGGGGAAAGTATCTGGATACTAAAAACATTTTGCTGAGGATCCCCTCAGTCATTAACAACACTGACATACCTGGCGGGCTGTGGAAGTCCTATTTAAGTACTTTAAACTTAAGCATTTAAAGCAGGGGTGGGCAAACTTTTTGGCCCAAGGACCACATCTGGGTATGGAAATTGTATGGTGGGCCATGAATGCTCATGAAATTGGGGGTTGGGGTGTGAGAGGGGGTGAGGGCTCCAGCTGGGGGGGTGCAGGCTCTGGGGTGGGGCCAGAAATGAGGAGTTCAGGATGTGGGAGGGAGCTCCAGGCTGGGTCAGGGGGTTGGGGTGTGGGGCGGGGGGGGGGAGAGCTCCAGCTGAGGGGGGTGCAGGCTCTGGGGTGGGGCTGGGTATGAGGGGTTGGAGGTGCAGGAGGGTGCTCCAGGCTGGGACCGATGGGTTTGGAGGACAAGAGGGGGTAGGGGTGCAGTCTCCAGGCGGTGCATACCTCAAGCAGCTCCTAGAAGTAGTGGCATGTCCTCTCTCTAGCTCCTATGCGGAGGCATGGCCAGGTGGCTCTGTGCGCTCCCCCTCCACAGCCAATGGGAGCTGCAGGGGAGGTGCTTAGGGTAGGGGCAGCTTGCAGTATCCCCTGGCTGCCCCTATGTGTAGGAACTGGAGGGTGGACATGTCGCAGCCTCCGGGAGCTGCGTGGAGCCATGGCATGTGCAGAGCGGGCAAGCCCCCTCACCCTGCCTCTTGGCTGGAATGCTGGAATGGGGCAAGCCCTGGACCCTGCTCCCTGGCGCGAGCTCGGGACCAGATTAAAATATCTGAAGGGCCAGATGTGGCCTCCGGGCCATAGTTTGCCCACCCTGATTTAAATTAATCTGAAACAGTTTTCACCAGTGACATTTTATAAAATGATTTAAATGTTTTGAGCAATAGTGGTTGAGCAGGTATATGATTTATAGTTTATAATTTGTAGGCTTGAAACTGACTTTATCCAATCAGATGATATCCCTCCTTCCAAGCTATTTTATAACTCCTCAAAGTATAAAATCAAATAGCTAAAGGTATTTGTGACTTCTACAGGGATGAAACAAATTATAAATGTAACTTTAATGATGTATATTGTTGGCAGTTCAAGCAGAGTAGAACCAGTTTTTCAGACAGGTGGTTGTAAAGCTTTCCAGATCATTAGAGAAACTTAATTACAATGATCAGTTTCACTGCTCTTTTTTCTCTTTATGAAAGCAGAAAACCAGTTGGAGCAGTGAGAAGGTTCAAAAAGAATACTACCTTGCTTCTTTTCTGTTTTCCCAGGTACAGTATGGGGGGAGGATCAGGCCTTTGAAATTTCACACCTGCTTGCCAGAGTTAGCTATGAAGGTGGGGCCCTCAGCAAAGTCCAAGGGCAGTGGGGTCCTCTTTATCATTCCCAGCTAAGGGAGAGGTTACTGGGTCTTTTTCCTGAAGCCTGATTGTGGATGTCATATTTTGTATTAGCTTCTGGCAAGTAGTTATCAGATAAATGTGAAACTGCTCTCGCTGAGGAAGAAGCTTCCTGTCTCATCACGACCTCCAGAGCATCCTGGCTGTTGCATGTGGGTTTCTGCTTCTATACCCTTCCCATAGGGGCTTTTGGGTGAAGGGGGAGGGGTAAGGTCTTCACCACTCCTTCCCCAATCAACCCTCTTCTTGGTTCCTCTTCCACTATGACTAGCTGCAATGCTTGCGTTCTCAAAAAGTAGTAATATATGATTATATTTTACAGCTGCCCACTGGGTTCTGAATAACTGCAGTAAATCTGACCAAAAATGTTTTAAATTTCACTCTGCTGCAGCTTGGATAAGCCATGCAGCAGTACTGGAGTTGGCTGTCTGCAGATTCATGAAAACAGTACATGAGTTTTGGCTCTTTCAGAGGTCATTTCTTCAGCTATTAGGGCTAGAAATTTATTTTTTAAATTAAAAATGTCTGCAGAAATTGCTGGTTAGGTCTCAGCCTGAACTGTCAAGTTAAAATATCTGCTCACCCAAAGCAAGCAGATTTTTGCAGCTCTCGGGTTAATGATACTTAACCATCTTTTTAAAGCACTTTGGAGTTTGTGAATGAAAAGCGTTATGTCAAGTACTAGTTATGTAATAGTGTTTAGAACCATTTTAACGATCTTGCCTTGTTTATCTCTGGAGAGAGATTTTTGTATAGTTCTCAAAAGCAAAAGATCCCCACTAGGTGCTTTACGTTTACAGAACAACTAGAAAGACAGGCCCTTTTCAAAAATATCGAAGTCTAACTTCAGAGATGGCAGGATAGGTTGACAAATAGGGAAGAAAAATGACATGGCCACAGCTGGATACTGAGTTTAATCAGGAGCATATCTAGATGCTCAGTTTTTAAAGAATGATTGACTCAGTATTTGTGAGCATCATTACAGATGTATGCCTTAAAAAATGGATTTGAATGAAGAGAGGTTAATAGCTTGGCAGTCCTCTATTATTGTTCCTTGTCATAACATTTCAATACTGTTTAGGGCATGCTTGTCTTAGATATATTGGTAGGCTAGGTAAAATGTTGAATGGGAGCTGGACATCCATTCCAGAAGATTCTTGATTGCCTCTGCTTGACTTTGTATACAAAAACTGCCAACTCAGATTTGCCCAAGGTTGCTTGCTTCACTTGAAGTTGATTACTTGTTACTGAAATTTTATTCTTGTTCCGGAAAATTAGCTGTTACCTGTTGCCATCAAACAGCTGTGGTATTTGAATCTTGCATCAGAGTAATTCTGTCTCTGAGCTAATGAAGGTGGTAGTTTTCTTTCCCTGCATACACAGTTGTGGTAAGATACATTTAATGGAATCATAGAATATCAGGGTTGGAAGGGACCTCAGGAGGTCATCTAGTCCAACCCCCTGCTCAAAGCAGGACCAATCCCCAATTTTTGCCCCAGATCCCTAAATGGCCCCCTCAAGGATTGAATTTACTCCAACCTTCTACTTTTGTAGCTTTTTAATATCTCAATTTAATCCAGGTACAGGGGTTGGGAATCATCTGGTGTATTAGAATGTAGAATGATAGTTTTCATCAAATCTTAATTATGAATTATGGCAGTTAACAAAAATATTCTTGAGTTTTATGGAAGGCAGTGTGACCCACTGGAATAGTACTCGGGAATCCTGGCTCTACCACTGATCTGCTGAATGACATTAGGCATTTCTTTGCCTCTTGTTTCACTTCTCACTGTAGTCTTGTCTTTGTGATTGTAAGCTTTTGGGGCATGAACATTACTGTGTGTTTGTACGGTGCCTCGCACAGTGAACTCCCGTTTTGGTTATAGTGGCTCTATGTGTTACAGTATCATCATTTGTATTATGCTAATTCTTCCATTGGTCACAAAATTGAATAAAAGAGCAGTGGTTAAACACTCTCCCACAAGTTGAAGAGTTGTTCCCCTCTGGAAAGAGAATAGTGTAAATTGAAAGTGTTTACATCTTTGCAACAAGTCTGAAAATTTAAGTTAAGCTTTCCTATTTGGTGTATAGGGTGTTCCAGCTACTAATTTGAGATTTGATTTTTTGATTGGAGTTATGGTTTTAGTTGTGACTTATGAGCTGACAATTGATTAAAAACAGTATCATGTTAACATTCTACAGTTATTTATCGTAAGGTTTTCCATAGCTTCCATCTCTGTAGTATCTAAATAGTAACAAGCAGATGCAGGAGTATTTTATATTTAATTGCATGGTCAATTGAGAATTTTAGAGGTAAAGTTTCAGTGTGTCACATTGAAGAATTATGGCTGAAAGTAGGCAACCAGTAAGTAGTTATGATAGGTTTAAATATAACTTAAAAAGTGATATATTCTTTTCATAGTAAGGTTTGGCATAATATGCACCCTCTTCCTTTTGTACTGAACATTAGTTTGAACAAGAATGAATTCAGCTGGCAGATACTCTAGTGCAGGAGATGTGACTGGGCTAACAAGGCCTTTATTGTGAAGCTTCTGACTGCTTCTCTGAAATTTTCTCCTTCCTGTTAAGTTGAAGGTAGTTACTTCACCTCTGACTCATCACAGACCCACAAAAGTTCACAACTATCAGCATAAGCACATGCTTTCAGAACTTCTTTAATGTGATTCAGCCTTTTGGTCCAATATATCATGATTTATTTCATAAATTTATTTGAGGGACACCTCATAAGTATTTTCTACCTTAGGGCAGATTAGTCCCTTCCCTGCAGTCTCCTGCTTCCTAAAAACCCAAATAATTTTTTCAAAAGGCAACACATTTAGAGTGACACTGAAAAGGGGATGTTTCTGGAATGGTGCATTCAACTCCCCCAGACCCAATTGTTTTGTCCTCAAAAATACTATTCTTATGATGTGTTATGGGAGCTGATGAGTCTCAGAACTTATAGAAAGGGCTCTCTGCTTGTCCTGGTGCCGATGCCTGTTGCAGAATTCCCAGTTGAAATGTCATCCTCTATTAGGGATGCACTATGAGGAATTGCCAGATGGTATTCTACTTACTTGAGGTCAGAGTTCTTGAAATGCTGAGGGTAGCATCTCTGGTGGTCTTGCACTTCGGTGGTGCCATATGGTACAAGAGAGATTTTCTGACAAGGATCCTGATGTCAGCTCCAGCTGGAACCCAGTGAGGTTGGACTTCCTGGATCTTAAGGGTCCTGAAAAGCATAGGCCTCCTCTGATTTGGCCTGGCAACCTCAGTTGTCAGCATTGGGGTGCCAGTTGGGTGTGTCTGGATAAAGCACCAGGAGTCAACACCCTTTGAAGGTTTGGAAGGAGTGGATGTCATAGCACTCAGAACAGTCATCAGTGCAGAGCCCCAACTACTACTCTGTAGGATCTGTTGGATTATAGGTTTAGGCAAGATTTTCTTCAGAACAGCCTTCCCTTAACACTTTGTGGATGAGCCCTTGATCCAGTGGGAGATGGATCTGAGTTCGTGCTGTGGACTTCTCCAAACTGAAAAAAGCAGGTTTCTTGCCATTCTCCTGCAGTTCTACATCTAGTTTGGGCCCATGAATATCATTTGGGCTTCAGTTTGTACAGCTGTCAGACTTTTTTCCATCTGGGTACTGTGCACCTTTGGACTTTTGGCCTTATGGTACTCCAGCTCCTGTGTCAGTAGTCTCTGTAGGCTTGTCCACACGAACAGTTAAACTGTGGTGAACTGGGGTGTGACTCTGCCCCACTCTAGCCTGCAGCCGGTTACCTGTCTGTATACACCCTGCTGACATGTTAAGTTTGTTAATGCACTTTGATCTAGTCCCATTTCAAAAGGATGTCTAGTTCAAAGTGCTCTAACCGACGTAGTCTCCTCTTTCTACGAAGTCTCCAAGAAGAGGTGAAGGCTGCTGTGGGCATTCCTTTACCTCTTCTTCCGGAGTTCCGTAGAGTTAGGTTTTGTCAGCACTGGGTATTTTAGCCCTTAGTAGCCAGCTACTAGTATATCCGCACTAATACAGTCCTGTAAACTGTCAAAGGCACAGTTTGCAGGGGTGGAGCTTACCCATGTTTGAACTTGTAGTAAGCTCCACTTGTGAAAATACTTCCTCTCCCTAGGCAAAGTTACAGGCAGTACCTCAGGCTCATAGTGGATGGTGACCACTATCGGTACAAGGTACTACTTTAGGGTATGTCTTCACTGCACAGATAACCTGGTGATTGGCACCTAGGTTAGCCTAGCATGGGTACAAGCATCCCCATGGCAAAGCCCCACCTGTGTTACTGTGGTCGTCACTGTTTCTGCATGTTCGTGTGTGTTGGGGGCATGTCCCATGGTTCTTTGTGCTGAAGCACCCTGTCAATTGCTGGAGAATGTTTGTTCTTTGGCGGGGAATTGTGGGAAGGGCATTGGAGGACTCTGATTAGTCAAATGATTTAGCCTGTAGCCTGCATCCTTACAGCAAAGTGGGCAGGTTCCAGCCCATGTTAGAGCAGAGCTTAGATTCTGTACCCTCCCAACCCAACTCAATGCTAAACTGAGTAAGCTAGCCTGGACATAAAGTACCTCCAAACATGGGTCAGAGGTTTTACTTTGTGGACGATGGGGGGTTGGGCTAAAACCTGGGTAAGAGCCTAGGTTAACTGTGCAGTGAAGATATACCCTTGCTCTTTGGGTTGCAAGCAGCCTGAGTTTCATCCAAGACCCATAAGCAAATGAAGCTTTGCCAGCCTTTTTGGATTGTTCACATTGCCCAGAAGGTAAGTAAATGACCCGTTAGAGTATTTTTACCTGTATCTACATGTCCTGTTAACACTATCCCCACACAGGTTCTAACCTTCACTGTGGTTCCCCTGTATTCCACTGAAACACTAGCTTGCCTGCTTCAGGACAAGTTCCCAGATACAGTCCAGGCAGTGGGTTGCATCCTATCCAGCTTCTGGGCAGAGGCCCAGTGAGAATTTATGTGAATGCTTCAAGTCCTAATGTTGGGTTATAACCTGGCTAGGTGAGTAGTTCTGTCCCTGTGTCTGAACTGTGAATAAGACTAAGTGGAAATGAAACTCTGGGTGACTTTTTTTTTTTTAAATGGGGAGGGGGCGGGGAACTTATTTAGCCTACTGTCACTTCATTCGTTCTTTTACTTTTCTGTCAGACTGGATCATAGTGATCATCCCCCCCTGAAGTAGGAGAGATGGACAGCACTCCCTCCAGGGCTAGCCAGAGGGAGCTAGAAAACTTCCTCTCCTCACCTGAGTTGAGCATACTGCCTCTAGTATTTCCTACCTCTGAAAGCTAAGTAACTCTAGATTACCAGACTAGCTGGTGTGACTTAAAACACTGTAATTTCAAATATTTTATTGGTTTCAGAGTAACAGCCGTGTTAGTCTGTATTCGCAAAAAGAAAAGGAGTACTTGTGGCACCTTAGAGACTAACCAGTTTATTTGAGCATGAGCTTTCGTGAGCTACAGCTCACTTCATCGGATGCATACCGTGGAAACAGTCTCTAAGGTGCCACAAGTACTCCTTTTCTTTTTCTTTTATTGGTTGTAATTATATACTAGCATTCATTATGTTCAGAGCTTGAAAAATCTACCTAATATCTACTAAACTGATGAGTAAGCCTACTTGCCAGGGTGATTGATATGCATGCCATCATGCCCTCTTCAGACACACCCCAAAGGCTTGAGTACTTTAGTGGAGACTTACTAGCAGCAGGGAGAAGCTACTGATGGAAAGGAAGACAACCACAAGTGAAGTGCGGAGGCAGTGCTCAAGGCCCTGCTGGTTCCTCGCTCAGTGCTGAGAAAGAGGAGGGTACTGTGTTTTTTGAGAATGCTGAGAATGAGAATGCTGTCCCTGGTCTCTGCTTGGAACTTTTTCTTTTTAAATTTTTTTGTATCAGCCTCTAGCTTGTGGGTGTTTGTACTTGAAGTAACATCCTTCTTTAGCTAATGGGAGGAAGAGTTTTGTTTCTTGGTGACTCTCTCAGGAGGTCTGGCAAAGCAGAGGATTGAACCCAGTGTCTTGAATATCCAAGTACAGTGTTTACTGCCTTAACAAACAAGACCATCCTTCTGACGTTTTGTTGCTTTGGATCTGCAGTGCACCTTGGTAGGGGAATAAATGTGGGTAGTGTTTATGCATTTCTTGGTAATCTAATGCAATAAACTGTTAAACCTCTGGGTAGACAAAAATGCATTTAAAATGCTCTAATCTGCATTTAGAAGGTAGCTCCTTCTTGCCTCATTTACTGGTCACTTTTCTGTGGTACACTGAAGGCGTGGTGCTGACTAGTTGTGGAGGGACCTTCAGACCCTGGGTGGGTTACACCAACACAGCCTTTGTGGTGAGAAATTTGGGATGTGGAATTCTAGGGGAAAAGAGAAATCCTAGAGGATATTCTTCTCTCACTAAAGAGCAATCTATTGACTAAAGCGGTAAAATCCCAGGTTCCTTAAGGGAATGGATTAAACTGATTTATGAGGAAATCTATCTAAGTAGAACCACTATCTCCAGCTATTGATATTGAAGTGATAGGCTACAATTTTGAAACTGGTGTGCTTAAAGTTAGGAAGTTAAGCATATTTAGGCACCAACATTAAGTGGCTTGATTTCCAGAGCTGCTCACCACCTGCAGCTTCCATTAAATTCATTTGGATGTGTCACTTGGCACATCTGAAAATCAGAGCCATTTTATTTAGGTTTCTTAATGTGCTTTTAGGTGCCTAATTTTAAGCACCCCAATTTGAGAATTTCAGCCATAGTCATTTACTAGGAGGAGAGGGTCATTTCAGTACAGGTCCATTTCATATTGAATAGATGTAAACTTTTGTTGTTCTAATCACTTTTTTTAGCCAGTTTCAGCTCAATGTTTCTGAATTGTTGAGTTGGAAATATTATTTCAGCCAGCAGATCAAACATAAAATAAACAAACTGGTATTAACAGTTGTAATTCATTTCAACAAAATATTACTACATTTTTCCATGATACTCCTTTACATAGGAAATAAGTACATGTTTATACTAAATGATTCATTACTTTGAGAGAGGCCCACTTTTTTAATGTGTGAAATAGCATTGAGTGTTTGGTACTCATAGTAACAAAAACAGGTTATCCTAAATTTCTACCATAATACCTAGCTTCTAAAATCAAAATACTGAGTATGGAAATGCAGTCAGTAAAAGTGTTTTGTGTGTTTGTCCCCTCTTCTCCATGCCAAGATATAACTCAGGTGCAAGATTCTCAACAATTTATCAGACTACACAGCACTGAGTTACAATTGGTTCCTGACATAGTTTTCATAGATTAATAGATTCCAAGGCCAGAAGGGACCATTGTGTTTATCTAGTCTGAACTCTTATATAACACAGACTATAGAGTGTCCCCAAAATAATTCCTAGAGCAGATCTTTTGGAAAAACGTCCAGTCTTGATTTAAAAATTGCCAGTGATGTCATGACCCCTGGTAAATTGTTCCGATGGTTAATTACCCTTACTGTTAAAAATTTACACCTTATTTGCAATCTGAATTTGTCTGTCTTAACTTCCTGCCATTGGATTGTGGAGTGTGTTGATTCATGTGTCCAAGCTTACTTTAGAGGGCCAGAAATAATTCTCTGTATTAAACAGAATCCTAACTAATATAATCAGGGAGTTGGTACGAGTACGTCTCCTGGTTGTCATTTATTCAATGCTGTTCAGATGCAGTTTCAGAGGGAATAGGATAGAAATTAGATATACCTGATCTGCTTCTCTTAGGAGCATATGTGCTTCTCCCCCCCCCCCCAAAAGGGGGGTAGAAAGGAACTGCCTCCTGTATGTCTTTGTCTACAGGGAGTTTTAAGACAATCTCTTCCAGAACAGTTTCTCGCTATCTATTCACAGAATCTATAGTTCTTTTTATAGCAAATGACGCAACTCTAATAGGAGTGGAGAAGGGATGGCAAGACCTTAGCTAACATCAAAATGCTAATTAACGTTAGGTAATACTACAGTATTATTAATGCAATTGTACTGAAAATTAAAGGTGATTTAACTTCGTCTCCCTGGAAGTATATATTAAACAGTTTTATGTTGTAGGCCAGGATTCAGACTTGTAAAACAGCTTTGGAGACAGGATAAGTAATCTACATCACTGTTTTAACAACAACCCCAAATTGTCCTACAACTGTGTGTGTGTGTGTATAGGATGTAGGCTGTGTACAGAGTGAAGGGATTGAATGTATCTCTGGAAATGGTAATTCAAATTTGTTCCCAAATTAACATGTCTGGTTTATTAGTCCTTGTTCTGTCTCAAAATCATCATGCTATTTGACATAAATCAGCATGTTTGTCAGTTTCTGTTCCATAGAGACTTGTGATTGGAATCGCATAGTCAGGATTGAGGTCTATAGGGTGGAGGCTTGTGCTGGCATTTGTTTTAGCTGCTGTGTCAAGGCAATGCTACTAACGTCTCTCTTTCATGAATGCTAATTCTTTCACATGTTTAGATTCTTCCCCATCTTATATGTGTGGTTTGAGGAGGGTTGGAGGTCCTCATTGTCTTGGTAGCACTGAGGGTTTATCCCTGAACTCTCCAGACCCCAGGGGTTATCCCTTTGCCCAGCAGGTGGAAACAGAAGATAAAAATCTTTGAGTAGTCTTCTATAAATCTTTACTGTTTCTTTTCTGTTGCAAATAGGTCAGGGAATCTGGGTCTGTCATACTCTTTCGAACTGACCTGTACTTCATTCTTAATATTCTACCTTTAAAGGGTCCATTCTACCCCTGCTTCAGAATCCTGTGTGTATCTTGCTCTCAAAGATTTATCATAGCTTCCATCCCTCTGGATGTGGATTAGATGGGGGCTCTAATCACAACATGCAGTTTGTGGTTAGAATAAACCCCAAGACTTGTCTTGTGTATGACACAGCCAGGCTCATGCTTGGTAAACTCTTAGACTACTGATGCTAAAGGAGAAATCTGTGAGACATCCGGTATAGTCACGCCGTCACTAGATGCAATTATGGAACCTACCAGAGCACTCGGAACCACAGTTTTTATGTTTTGGTCTAATTTTTAAGATAATTTCTCAAGGAAAGCAAGAAAAGAAACATAAATTGAAAGGAAGAAGAATGAGAGAGAGAAACCAAGAAAAGAAACTTTAACTTTCTCTATATCCATTTAAAGCTAGTCTTATTTCTCTGGAATAACAAGTTATCTACTGACATTGAAGTGTGCTCTATCAGGATTCTCAGTCCTTCACTACTCTTGATATTCAGTCCTGTCTGGACACATTTTCTAGAATCTATTACTGGCATATTTACTTTTGTCCAGGGTGGATTTGGTTTAAATGAAATTGATTTAATATGAAATCATGATTTAAATCACTAGTCAGGAAGACTCAATTTAATCATGGATTTCTACATAAAAGTGCATTCTTGTCGGTTGTTATAACCTTAATACATATTCTTCACAACTCAGAGCTAGATGTCGGTTTAATTTTTAGAAGGTACACACTATACATTCTTTAAAAAAAGAAAAGGAGTACTAGTGGCAGCTTAGAGACTAACCAATTTGAGCATAAGCTTTAGTGAGCCACAGTACGAAGTGAGCTGTAGCTCACGAAAGCTTATGCTCAAATAAATTGGTTAGTCTCTAAGCTGCCACTAGTACTCCTTTTCTTTTTGCGAATACAGACTGACAGGACTGTTACTCTGAAACCTACATTTTTTTAAGTGATTTATTTTGAAAACTTTTCAGATTAATTTTACAGCTATATCAGAAAATGAATGATTGTTTGGTTATTTCATTTACCAAAGGTAATTGAAGCAGATATTTATGAAGTCATTGGGAGGTGAACTATCTCCAATTCAACAGTTTAATCATAAATATTTGGAGGATTTTCTTGCCATGCAACATCACCAGACAGACGTTTAAATTGTTTTATTTAATTAACACAACATTATATATTCTGGATTTTTTTCTTCAACAACAAACACACAATATTTTAAGAAAACAAGCAT